TTATCACATGTTTTTAAAACTTTTTAGCTCTTTTTCCACTTGACTTACCAGCCTTTACTTCAAGTTGATAAAGAAGCAAAAACATCAAGGTAATAAAAAAGGGTTCTATTTTTCTCATGTTGTAGGAGATAAGTATCTCCTACTATAGATACATAATATGGTAGAGCCCACCATCCATTAAAAAAAGAAAAAAGAAAAAATGATGTCATAACTTTTTATGTGAGAGAAACATGAGATAGTTATCTCATGTAAAATGAGACAATTATTTCCCAATAAAAAAATGGGAAAATGAAGTATTATTTAAAAGGATATGTTCTTTTAGATTATTTACACAAGTATGACCGGTCTTACTATGTGTAAATATGAAAAGTTACTTTTTTTTTCTCTTCTCAGTAATATCGCTTATGTGTAAAGTGAAAAAAAAAAGCAACTTTTCATAATTGCACAGAGTATGACTGGTCATACTTTCTGTAAGTCACTAAAAGGACACAACTTGTGTCCTTTTTAAATGACACACATTAAACCCTAAAAAAATTGAAGGGTTATCTCAGATTATTTTAATCAGTGCCTTTTGCATTTTTCTTGGTGGGTACGAATCATCAACTTTCATTTTTGGGTTTTATAGATATTATGTTCTAGGAAGCTTATAGTGTAATGTTACTCTCACAAAAAGTGATGGCCCCACCTTCCTTTTTTTTTTTTTAGAGAGAGACCCATATCAAATATATTAGAGTAACATACACTACAAATTTCTACAACATGACATATATAAAACCCTTTATTTTTATGCCAGAATAACTATTTTTCTCTTCTTTTGTGGTTTAAATGATTCAAACCCTGTGACTCTCTAGAGAAGGGCACAAACTAGCTATGGTTGCCTTATTCCTAGTAAGTAATTATACACTTTAAACTTGTACTAGTTGTACTACACTTTTACCTTATCTATAAAATATTTGGGTAATTAAGAACATTTTGGTTAGTTTTTACAATCATAACATCAAACCCCAGTAGTTAAATCTACTATATCTTTTCTCCTTTTCATATAATCCCTAAATTTCAGCGATTACAATCTGGGTTAGAATTTACGGTTTGCTTGGTTTGAATTCAGTTAAAATAAAGGAGAGAGGGGGAAGCCTCCAAAATTGATATGCTTGTTATTATGAAGTACAAGGTTTCCTTCCATTTTCCTCCACTAGTCCATCCAATTTTAATCCTATGAAGTACAACATTTGTTTATAAGCAAATCATCGGTGCATGATTGAAGATATGATGATACAAACAACACCTCTCTGCCAAAAAGAATTAGATAATTAAATTATAAGGATTAACTATAAAATCACTTCACTTTAAACCCTGACTACGGGATCACAAAAATAAATTGTGGGCACAAGATTCTATGGAGATCATTGACTTCTTATCATAGTCAATATTGTTAAAATCAAGTTTCCACGAAGAAATGGAAGGGAATAGTAGAAACGTAAATTGTAGAAACGATACGAAACGTAAAGTTTTTATTACCCAATATCAATATACGAAATTATATATGTATAGGGAAAGTTATATTTACAAATTTTTTGTTTACAAACTACACTAAGTATGACCGATCATACTTTAATCAAGAGTGTATGACCGATCGTACTTAGTGTAATTTGTAAAAAAAGTTTATAAACGGATCCTCTCCCTATATATATATGTGTGTGTGTAAAAAAAAATCACATCAGTCACCAATCAAAATACAATGAACAACTTTATATTTAAAAGATATAAATCATATAATTATATAAGACATAAGTCCAAAAATACAAAAAGTTTAACAACTCTTATAATAAAGTTCCACGACATCAAAATAATAAAGTTTAGCAACTCTTAAATATAACTACAGATGCTTCGTGCAAGGGTTTTTTTTTTTTCCATATAGCTAACAGAAGTTACTGGGCATTTGATTTGGGAAAAATGTAAATAGAATTTTCTTAAATTTATTTAATTAAAAAAATAAAAATAAAACCAAGTCATGAATTAAAAGTTGATCCACTTCAACTTTTTGATTTAAGTGAAAACGTAAAAACTTGTGTTTCAATCATTTTTATGCGTAATTTTTATCAATTTTTACTGAGGAGAGTTTTTACTTACGTTTTAACACTCGTCACTCTAGTTAAAACGTTAAAATTTTTACATTAATTTTTAATAACAATGACCATAGCTGTGCCAGGACATGGAGAAAGCGACATCTGATGAAAATTGGACAGTTTTACTGGCCACATAATCTACTCTGATTCTAAAAATATGCTTATCCGATGAGGATCATATATCTCCTGCTTAAGACTTCAACAAATGCTGACTATAAAATATAATTATGTCAGAAAATCGAATAGTCAAAATGAGAGCAGTAGAAAGATCAATGATTACTAGTATTAAAATTGGATTAAAGAGAAAAAAGATTTAGTTTGACCTTAGGCACTTTTCCAAAAATCTTCGATGCTACTGATACACTTTATTTATTTTAGGATACGTAAGCGGATCCTGTGCAAATTTATAGAATCTTAAGATCCTATGTATCTTAGTATAAATAAATTACCGTTGCAATGACTCTTAGGGCGACGGTAATACTAAAAGTTTTCTCAACACTCTGCTTCCACAAACACTAGATTTTCATATGCAATGTAAGAAAAATACTCTCTACAGAAAAAGTGAGCACATTTTCAAGACATGCAGGATCTTTATCAAACACATTAGATTTTTAATAATATTGAACCGGTTTAGCAGCAACCCAGTAATACAAGAAGCATGTTATGATGGTTTAGTGCCTAGTTGATTCCCTCAAATGCACTTACCACGTGTAAGGTACAGATTAACTTAACAAGCATGGAGACTTGGACATTTGATACAGAAACAGTAAGTAACAGAATGCGTTTTATATTAACATCTGAGAAAACAGTAAGGTATGGATTAACTTAACAAGCATGGAGACTTGGACATTTGATACAGAAACAGTAAGTAACAGAAAGCGTTTTATAGTAACATCTGAGAAAACAGTAAGTTATGGATTAACTTAACAAGCATGCAGACTTGGACATTTGATACAGAAACAGTAAGTAACCGAAAGCGTTTTATAGTAACATCTGTAAAATCAATCACTAAATGCATCCAAGATTTCCTCACGTGTGACTCAGCATTCTATGCCCAGAAAAGCTTGAAAAAAAAATTGAATGAAGAAATTTACATGTGATGGCTGGGGGAGTTTTGATAGAAAATGGCCACCCAGAGAATATAATGCTGACCCCCAAGTATGGATCTCATTACTAAGATCCTATTATAAAGGGCCGACCCAGTTCAAATACCCACTTCGTGAGTGTCTGGGGAAGGGAATACTAAGATCCTATTATGATGGTTACAATTTAAAGTTGAGAGGAGGAAGGCTCAGGCTTGGCTACACATCATGCACGACAAGGGGTTGAATGGAGGAATTTACGTGGCCATCAAGGACAGAAAAGATAACACAAGAGAACCTTATAATCGTTCCCCTAAACATGGTCCCTACTGTTAGTCTTAAATTCTACTCAAATTAATGATATTTCTCCTATAATTTTTGGGCTGAATGGTGTTAATGTGCAGGTGAAAGTGGGCTAAACTTAAAGGTGTAAGCCCAAGATGGTGAAAAGAAGTAAAAAAAGAATTTTAACTTTTCACTAATATTTTTCACATTATAATGCATAAGTACACATGGGTGATAAAAGATGAAAGAGGAGATGAGATGGCAATTTGAGAACCCGTTGGATGGTCTTTTGATCTGACGGACTTCAAGCATTTGATGCTGTGGCTTAAATACAAGTCTCTGTTTTGTAATAAAGGGAGTTGAACTCAGATTTTAGAAAGTTAGATTTTCGTTGAAGAAAAAAAACTCAGTTTCGATATAATCAGTTTTACGTTTTTGAGCGCTTAATTTTCTTTGAAACTTTCTTGGAGAATCTCATTCTTGAAGGGATTCAAGAGGAGATTTCTGCGTGCAACTTCTTGGAACAGTAACTTCGTTCTTTAGTTTCTCTTTAATTGTAGCAATTTCAACTTGAAGAACATATCGGTCTGTTACATTCTACTTTTGCTGTTTCTGATATTTTTGAATGAAAACTATGTTTACTGTTATTTCAGAATTCATTTTTGTTTTATCTTTCAACATGCATGGCTAAATTCTTTATCTAGAATTCTGATGAAAATGACAAGTACCCATTAACTGATTCAAATTGTTGTGCATGTTCTTGATGTTTGATTAGTGAAAATTACTTGGTTTAAGTTCCATGGGAATGAGCTTAAAGATTATTGCATGAACTTGTATTGGGAAATTGAGTTCATGATTTCATTAATTCAAGTTTTCAAGATTATGAATAATCTAGGAAAGAATTTGATTACAAGTCATCAATAAAATGATTCAAGATTAAGGGATTAATTTGAATCATTTTAGAATTGAATTTGGAAAAGTTTAGTGAGATTCTACAAAAAGTCAGATTTCATCAATTATAGGTACTACAGCAGTTAAAACGCAGACATGCAATTTTCAGGGAAAAGTCACAAAAGTCAGAATTCTAGATTTTTAATATTCAGTTTTACTCATTTAAACGTGTTCTTACTATTCGTGTTCTTACTATTCTCAGTATAGTTTGCATTTTTTAAAATTATAATTTCCATTGGAAAAACCATCAAATTCACTTTCAAGAAAAAAAAGAAAAAAGGAATAACCGAAAGAAATTAAATTTCCTGTTCCCAGAGAGAACGATACTTGAATTCTTTTTGGTTTGTATACTTTCAACACCTACCTTGCATTTAGGTTAACCCTTATCCCTTTGTTAACAGTTAGGTATTAGTCTGTCAGGCTATATTTCATGTGGTGTAGCTTGGCAAATACGCACTTCAGGCTAGAGTCCAGAGTTGAAGAAGGCTGGAAAACCAATATATACAACATGTTTAGTGCATTGTTGCCAAATGATTGTTAAGTTTAGCTGCACAAGTCAATTTGCAATTTCTTGCCGCTTGCAGCCTTCAAGGAAGCTACGCCATATGTTGGTATTTGGTGGGAAAGGCATGCTTGCAATGATTTTCTCAGCTTCCTTAATCTGTCCATTTTTAGCCAGGAGGTCTACTATGCAATGGTAATGATCAAGTTCTGGTTGAATCCCATAAATGGTTCCCATCTGCCTGAAAATTTCCATCCCTTCGCTCTCTAATCCACCATATCTGCAAGAAGAAAGCACTGCTCTGAGAGCCAATGCATCAGGCTTCAACCCCGTCAATTCCATGTTTTTGAATCTCTTTACTGCCTCGTGAGCATAACCATTCAGCCCAAGGGCAGTAATTAAAGCTGTCCATGTAATAATATTTCTGTCCGTAATTTCTTCAAAAACTTTCACTGAACTATCAATGCTTCCACACTTCCCATACATGTCAATTAGTACATTGCACAAAAATGTGTCACGGTTAAGATTAGTCTTCATAATAAGTCCATGAAGAGAACTGCCCAAATCCAAACTGCAAAGTTTGGTGCATACACATAATACACTCATAAATGTGTAATTATCTGGACGGATGCGTGCAGAATGCATATGCTTGAAAAGCTCAAAAACCTCATTATAATTATTGCTCCGAGCGCAAGCTGAAATGACAATGTTCCAAGATACAACATCAGGTTTTTCGAGCAAAGAAAGAAACTTTATTGTTTCATAGTACTGACTAGTTCTGTTATAGATTCCAGCAATGATGTTGGATGGGATTAGAGGAAGTGGATTATTAAATTCTTTGACAAACGAAAGTGCTTCATTTATGAGACCATTTCTGGCGTAAGCCATAACAAGAGAGCTCAATACGTATTCATAATTCTGATACCCCATTCTTATAACCAAACCATGGAGTTGATGTAGGTCTGATAATGATGATGACTTAAGAACAGCAGAAAAGGAGAACTCATTAAGGAAATAACCCACTTGAAGCATTTCTTGTAACAATAGAATAGACGTGGAAGAGCAAATATTTGAGTAACCCAATATCAAAGCATTCCAAGAAACCACATTTTTCTCTTCTATCTGATTAAAACAGTTATGGGCGGAAATCAATTGATCACATTTGGCATAGAAGTCTACCAATGCAGTACCCACAATAGCATCGGATTCAAAACCACTCCTGATTACCTTAGCATGGAGAGATTCTCCACACACTAAATTTCTCAAACTAGTACATGAGTCAATAACAGCTACAAATGTGGCCTGACTTGGCATCAATCCTCTTCTGGACATATTCAAAAACAGCTCCAACGCCATTTGAGGTCTCTCACTTTTAGCCAATGCATCAATGACTGTATTCCAGGACACAACATTTTGAATAGGAACCTGCTCAAACAATCTTTCCACCGAGGACATGGCTTTGCATTTGACATACACACTGATGAGAGAATTAACCGCATTAATTTCACCATCAAACCCACATTTAGTCATTAAACTATGTATCTGTTCACCATATTCCAAATCCTCTTCAGGATCAACAAGTCCAGACAAAAGGGCCACAAAAGAGCCTTCCGACAAAGAAATCCCCATCCCCACAAGATCACGAAAAAAAATCTTACAGTCTTCAACAAAACCATTACGTGCCAGCAAGGACAACATCGAGTTCCAGGTCACCAAGCTCTTCTGGGGCATATCTTCAAATGCCAAAAACGCCTCATCCAAACATCCATGCCTCCCAAACAAGCCCAACAAAGCAGTACCCACGAAAGCATCAGCATCAAAGAGTCCACTCTTCATGCTCAAAGCCTGCAACTGAACACCGTGAGAAAGATTCAACGATTCACACGATAACAACCCGCTGAGAGTGTACTGGGTAGGCACAAAACCACTCATCCTCATATGGAAAAGCAAGTTCCAAGCATCATCTACATCCCCATTTCGACTGTACGAATTGATAAGCGTGTTGTAAGAGACAACTGTTCTGTGGGGCAATGCGTCGAACACCTTGCGTGCATGAAACACTTCGCCGAGAGAAATGTAAGAAGAGATGATGTTGTTGTGGATGAAGATGGATTGCTTTGGAATGGGACCCATTGTGACGGAGAGTGCATGGAGACATTTGGTTGAGTCGAAGGACCGAATGGTGGAGCACGCTTCGAGTAAATTAAGGAGGAGTTGGCCATGTCGGAGAACCTGTCCATGGCAATTCATGCAGCTAAACTAAAGCACTAGAACGTTAATTTGATTTTATACTTTTAGAAATGCTTATTTGTTCTTGCTTTATTTATTTTATTTTTGCTTTTGTTAAATGGTCCACTTATTATTGAGGCCCAAATCCTCTTCATTGGGACTCCACCATGGGCTACTTGTACATTTTTGTAGCCTAAATGCTGAGCCCAGTTAACTTGCAACCCAGCAACTCAAATAAATTCTTCTGGCCAACCAAAAAGGGCTGCTGGCCTTCATGAAGTGACAAAAATTACTTTCATGGCAGCTGAACTTGCTGTCTTAAACAACACAGTGAAGAATCTTACCAAGGTGGTGGTGGACTCTAAGCATGCAGCACATGCTCAAGTAGCTGCTACAACAATTATCTGCTCCCTATGTTATGGGCCACGTGTATTTGAGGAATGCCCCAACAACCTTACATCAGTTCTTTATGTGGGAGAGTTCAATAGTGGCTACAACAACTGCAACCAATTCAACCAACCCAGATGGCAGAATCAAGGTGGCCATTTTAGCCAGAATCAAGGCCATGGATACCATTACAATGCTGGAAATAAAGCACCTAGCCAGACCCTCCAAGGAGGACAACAACAATTTCAATCAAAGATGTCATTCCCACCTGGTTTCAATCAACCTTTTCCTGCAGACCAGAATAAACAAGGGAATGCAGAAGCTCATCCACCTCTTGAGCAGTGGATGAAAGACTATGCTGCAAAGAATGATCAAGCTGTGCAAAATCATGGGCAAATGCTTCAGAATCAGGCGGCTCTACTCCAAAGTCATAGTGCCATGTTGAAAAGCATTGAGACACAAATAGGTCAGCTTGCTACAGCACTCAGTGGTAGACCTTTGGGAGCACTCCCTAGTGATACATAATTACCAAGGAGAGATGGTAAAGAAACATGTAAAGCCCTCCAACTGGCAGAGAAGTTCATCAACCAGAACCGGTTGTAAGGCTCTCCACATTAAGGAAGCTGATGGAGAAAGAAGAGCAGCAAGTGGACAACTCTGCTATAGCTAAACCGACAATCAGTCAATCTATACCTCAAGAAAAAGATAATGAAGAGGAAAATACTTCTGAACCAGTAAAGGCAGAGCAAAAATCAAAGGAGTCAGATAAGCTTGTGCAGAAAAAAGAAGATTCTCAACCACTCTCTAAGGCAAAACAGGTTCCTTTTCCTCAAAGACTCCAAAAACAGCACCAAGAGCAAAACTTCAAGCGATTTCTGGATATTCTGGAGCAATTACAAATTAATATACCCTTCATGGAAGCACTTCATAACATGCCTAGCTATGTGAAGTTCATGAGGGATATTCTCACAAAGAAAAAGAGGCTTGAAGAGTACGAAACAGTGGCATTAACAAAGGAATGCAGCAGCTATGTCTCCAACAAATTGCCTCAGAAATTGGAAGATCCAGGTTCTTTTACAATTCCATGTACAATAGGAGATAGATATATTGGTAGAGCCTTATGTGATTTAGGCTCTAGCATAAACTTAATGCCAACTTCTATCCTTAAAACACTTGGAGTGAAAGCCTCTCCAACCACAGTTACTCTCCAATTAGCTGATAGAACTCTTGCATACCCTGATGGAAAAATAGAGAACATCTTAGTTAAAGTTGATAGATTTATTTTTTTCAGCCGATTTTATAATCTTAGATTGTGAAGTTGATGAGAATGTGTCTATTATAGTGGGTATGCCATTCTTAGCCACATGGGTGCTATAATTGATGTTAAAAAGGAAGAACTAACCATGAAGGTCAATGAGGAAAAGATCAAATTTAATGTGTTAAAAGCAATGAATTTTATTGATGAAGTTGTTGATGACGGTTCTGCCATATCTGTTATAGACCATGTTGTTGCTGACCATTCTGTTATGAATAATGAATTTAACAATTTAGAATTGGGCAACATTGAACAGATTGCTAAAAATCCAAATGAAAGAGAGCTTGTCTTAGCTTTAGAACCTAAACCAACAAAGTTTTTTGGGGACAAACAATTTGAATCTTTAGGACTACATGAAAGATCTTCTAAACTCTAAAACCATCCATTGATGAACCACCTGAGTTAGAGTTAAAGGAGCTGCCAAATCACCTTAGGTATGCCTTTTTAGGAGAGGAGAAAACTCTCCCAGTCATTGTATCCTCTGAATTGAACATTACAGAGGAAGACCAGCTATTAAGAATCCTTAGAATGCATAAGAAAGCCATTGGTTGGACCATGATTGAAATTAGAGGAATTAGCCCCTCATTTTGTATGCATAAGATAAGGTTGATTGATGAAAATAACAGTTCTATTGAACCTCAAAGAAGGCTGAATCCAGCCATGAAAAATGTTGTTAAAAAGGAGCTAATAAAATGGTTAGATGCAGGTTCATCTACCCAATTTGTGATAGTCATTGGTGAGTCCCTTGCATTGTCTCCCTAAAACGGAGGGATCACAATAATATTAAATGATGATAATGAACTCATTCCTACTAGAACTGTCACGGGGTGGAGAATTTGCCAAGACTATAGAAAATTAAATTCAGCAACTAAGAAGGACTATTTTCCCTTACCATTTATTAATCAAATGCTTGATAAACTTGCTGGCCAGGAATACTATTGCTTTTTAGATGGGTATTCTTGTTACAACCAGATCCCATTAGCCCCAGAAGATCAACATAAAATAACCTTACATGCCCTATGACACTTTTGCTTTTAGGAGGATGCCTTTTGGCCTTTGTAATGCCCCTGCAACCTTTCAAAGGTGCATGACAGCCATCTTCAATGACATGATTGTGGAATTTGTAGAAGTTTTTATGGACGACTTCTCTGTATTTGGAAGCTCCCATGAGGCATGTTTGTTAAATCTGTCTAAGGTGTTACAGAGGTGTGAGGAAACTAATTTAGTTTCAAATTAGGAGAAGTGTCATTTTATGGTGAAGGAGGGGATAATGTTAGACCACAAGGTGTCTAAATTTGGTTTAGAAGTGGACAAGGAAAAGGTCTCTGTCACAGAAAAATTACCTCCTCCTAGAGATGTCAAGGGTATTAGGAGTTTCCTGGGCCATGCTGGCTTTTATAGGAGATTTATAAAAGACTTCTCTGAGGTGGCCAAGCAACTAAGCAATCTGGTTGAGATCAATAGGCCATTCTTGTTAGATGACCAGTGCCTAAAAGCCTTTGAAGAGCTAAAAAATAAACTAATCACTACTCCTATAATTATAGCACCAGATTGGTCATTACCATTTGAGGTAATGATTGATGCAAGTGAGTGGGCATTAGGTTCTGTTTTATGACAGCGCCAAAATAAAATTTTTCACTCTATTTATTATGCAAGTAAAGTCTTGCAAGGTGCTCAATTGAACTACACTGTAACTGAAAAAAAAAACTCTTTACTATAATTTTTGCATTTGAAAAATTTAGGAGTTATTTGTTTGGAGCAAAAGTAATTGTGCATACTGATCATTCTGCAATTAAGTATTTAATGGAGAAGAAAGATAGCAAACCAAGGCTTATTAGATGGATGTTACTCCTTCAAGAATTCCAAGTTCAAATTATAGATATGAGTGGCACCCAAAGTCAGATAGCTGACCATTTATCTAGGCTTAAGTCAGAAGAGAATGAACAAGACCTAGAACTAGTCAGGGACATGTTCCCTGATGAAGTTTTGTTAGCTATAAAGTCTTTAAATACCCCTTGGTATACTGATTTGGCCAATTACTTGGCTGCTGGATTGATACCTTAGGAATTAAATTCCCATCAGAAAAAGAAATTTCTCCATGATTCTAAATTTTACTTTTGGGATGACCCCTATCTTTTCAAGAGATGTGCTGACCAAATCCTTAGAAAATGTGTTCTTGAAGTTGAACAAGAGGGAATTTTAAGTAGCTACAATAGCTCCCCTTATGGAGGACATTATGGAGGAGTGAGGACATCTGCTAAAGTCTTGGAGGCTGGCTTTTATTGGCCAAGCCTATTTAAGGATGCTTATACATTAGCTAAGAAGTGTGATAGATGCTAGAGAACTGGCAACATTACACATAGAAATGAAATGCCACTCAACCCAATTCTTGAAGTTGAGGTGTTTGATGTGTGGGGGATATACTTCATGGGCCCTTCCCCCTTCTAATGGCAACAGGTATATATTGGTAGCTATTGATTATATGTCCAAATGGATAGAGGCAGTGGCATCTCTCACTAATGAAACTAAGACTGCATGTAGGTTCTTCAAGAGTTACAATTTTACAAGGTTCGGCACACCTAGATGTGTGATCAGTGATGGAGGGGGACATTTCATTAGCAAACTATTTGAGAATCTCCTTGCCAAATATGGTGTTAAGCATAGGATGGCCACACCCTACCACCCTCAAACTAGTGGCCAAGTAGAGGTGACTAACAGGGAAATAAAGAAAATTCTGGAGAAAGAAGTAGGTCTTCAAGAAAAACCTGGTCCTTAAAATTAGAAGACTCCCTTTGGGCATATAGGACTGCTTATAAGACACCTATAGGATGCTCACCATATAAATTGATTCTTGGTAAAGCATGCCACTTGCCATTGGAGTTGGAGTACAAAGCCTATTGGGCTCTTGCTAAACTCAACATGGATTACAAGCTTTCTGCTGAAAATAGGCTTCTGCAGCTAAATAACTTGGATGAATTTAAGCAGAACTCTTATGAAAATGCTAAGTATAATAACCCATACTAGTAATAGTGGATTTAATATCGAAGAATAATTAGAAGTAAAAGAAATAAAATCACCTTTGGTGAAAAATGAGTTAAAATTTCAGTTAAAGAGTAAAAATGCGGGTAAATAAAGTTACCCGAAAGTAAAAGTAAAATTATAAATATGAGCATAAAAATATTCTAGTCCATTAGGTAAAGTTTGGTAATGAATGGAGGTGTGTAGATAGATAAATCTTTACCCAGTTAAAATAAGTTAACTTTAAAAAAAACTGTAACCCCTTTAAATTTCTCTTTCCTACGCGTTTTCCTTCGTTCTTTTCCGTCGTCCAGTGGCTGCTCTCACTTGGAAAGGGGCTTAGGGTTTTGCTTTGGTTTTCTTTGATTTCTCTTGCAATATCCAACCAAATCTCATAACCCACTACATGAAATCTATGGTAAACTACCCAATGAAGCTATTCCAACCATCAATGTGAGCTATTGTTGAGTGTGTGAAGAGTTATTCTCCTTTCCCTAATTCGTACACTATTCATCAAGGAGGCAAAAGGAAGCTTTTGAAGGAGATTCTCTTGATGGAAGTCTTCTAGGTCTTGAATAAGTGATTAGAGGTGATTAAACTCTAATCCTATGATTATTTTATTGTGAAAATGGTGTTAAAAAGCATGGGTATGGTTGGGTAGAAAATAAAGTAGTATAAACTTGAAGGTGATGATGGCTTGGTTGTGTATAGGAAGTGTAGTGAAAAAAAAAAGCAAGCATGTTGCATGTGTAAATAAAAGAAAAAAAAAATCCCCTTGTGTTTGGTCCCTTGTTGTTCGGCCATGAGAGGGTTTATAGAGGATGATGTGCAAAATTGTTAGTTATGTATTTGGAAGGTGAGGTGTTGTAAAGAGTAGAAAAAATGATGAATTAGCAAAGATGTAAGTTGGAAAAAAATCCTACAAATACTTGCTCTATGCTTCGAACTATAGGATGTTTAGGGGTATATATTTGTTACATTTTATTTTAATAAAATGTGTTGCATTTTAATATACCAATGGATGAGCTAAGAAGTGAAATGCTTTGATAAATGGTTGAAAAATACCTTGAGTCCCTAAGGGTATGCCCGCGACTTTTAAAGAAAAATAACATGATTTATGTGGAAAATTCTTAAGTAAATGCTTGATTAAATTAAAGAATGCCAACAGGTGTATAGAGATCTAGACTTGTGTATTGGCATAGAATTGACAAAAATATAAAGAAAGGAAAATAAGCGATAAAATGTATGCTTATGAAATAATCATGGTATAGCATCATTTTATTGATGCATTGTAAATTATTCTCTAGGTGTGCCTAGGGATTGAGAGGGATCGGAAATATCTTGAAGCGATAAAAGTAACTTGTTCCACAAGTAAGCGTATTGGTAAAGCTTCAAGAGGTAAGCTCTATGTTTAAGGAGTCTTTTCCTGCTTGAGTGCTCCACCATAGTTAGTGGACTATGGTTGGACTATATGACTGTATGTGATACTCTGTATAGGTGCATTCATATAGAGTTATCTGATGATATGATATGATATGAAATGATCTGATATGACATGATATGATATGACTGGTTCTGATATAAATTCTGTATTGACTTCTGGTACGCTGATGTCTTCTTAGGACTTTCCTGAGATTGACTATGTACACCTCTGAGATACTCTGGTTCTGCTTGGGGTCATCCCTTGGGAACACGTGCGTTGAATTCCGCTTGGGGTCATCCCTTGGAAATTACAGCGCACACCTCTGTTATGATATGGTTATATGTTCTGTTCTGTTATGATATGTGTTATATGTTGTACTGGTATACTCTGTATCTGACTTTCATGCAGGAGCGAGCCAGGGGTATGGAGAATTCTCTATAAACCTGGAGCTTATTGAGATTTGAAATCTTACCCCTCGTTGGGGCAACATTTTCAGGTGCACAGACTTCCGGTGAGCCTTCGTTAGGCAGGGACACGACACGGGGCTGAGACGTTTGACG